ATGGTCCAGCATCTGGGCTTGGTGCATAGACAAATTACCTGCTGACTCTGCACCCTTCAAAAAGCAAATGGGCTTTTTTTTTTCTTTTTTGAGCACGACTGAGTGCTCAACTGTGCTTTGACTCGCTACTTTCAGGTGGCTTATGCCCAATCCTGTCGACCAGATGCTGAATAGGACAATTTTCCCTGAGGGGATTGGAAAGCCTGTTTCAAGAAGCTTTTATGTTTCCAGAAGGATTGAATTTTCAGTAAAGCATTTCCATAAGTCTCCTGTCCTCTAGCTAGAGCACAGTGTTCAAATAGAAAGTGATGTGAGACAAGCACAGCTTTAGGCATCCAGGCTGTGGTGACGTCAGGTCTCTGGGCCTGAAGCAAAGCAGCCCATGGGGTCCTTGAATCTGTCTGATGTTTCATGCATGGAGTTTGTACCTTGATTTGTCTTATCTTCTCTGGCTATCCCTGTGCAGACAACCAGAAAGAATTCAGCTTGGCTTGAGTTTAAGTACGTTTTGGAAGGAGTTGCTGGAAGATTTGGAAAGAAAATGATGCCGTTGCTTGGTTACTTGCTGAGCTGGCCTTGCTGTCACTTGTAGCCATCTCACTAGAAGACATTTGTTAAGTGAAGCCTCAAGAGGCTTCTTGTGTGGTCACTACATGAAAACACACTCTTCCAAATAGCCACTGGCATCAACATTCTGATCGCTCTGAACTTGCTCGAGACTTGAAAAGTTGATGGAGCCCCACTGACTTAGTTAACAGAAACAGCCACTCCAGCTTTGAAGGGTGGAGGGGACTTGTCACTGCAGTTTGGTTTTATTCCATCAAAAAGGGCTGATGATAGGGAACGTGAGGTGGAGGTGCAGAGCTGTGGGAATGTGGCTGTGATGTGAGGTACGTGGTTATTATTCCTTGAGGATTTCCCTTCTGCCTCAGTTTCCTCCTTTGAGAAGTGGTCTTCCGTGACTAGTGGGTTCCAGTTAAATTGAATACCCCGTTCTTTCCTGTGCCAAAGAGCATCTGTAGGGCAGCCCCTCTGCCAGGCTGGGACCTTGCCCACAGTTGCACAAGAGGATGCAGATGTGGTAGGGGAGTTCACCCTGCCCAGGACTCATGGAAATGAATCGGTGCTCCACACACAAAGGTCCCCAGCCACCATGGACAATGCAGGAGGACAAGCAGGGCAGTGCTGGGGACCAAGAGAGGGAGCAGAGGGACGGAGACTATGTCAGAGGGACTAGCCTAAGTATCAGCCAGGCAGAAATGATTCCTTCCTGATCCTGAAGGAATCAGCATCCAAAAAATGTTCCCAATAAGAAAACAGGCTTAGTGAGTTGACTGCCCCCTTCTTTCCAAAAACCTGACCTGTTGGTGAAGGGAGAAAGAGATCATAGTGGGACAAGGTGCAAGCTGTTATGGGAGTCAGGATCCATCCTGGGCATACAGCCACTGGCTTCATGTTGTCTGGGACTAGTTCTTAGGGAAAAATTAGAGGTAATTGGGGCCCTTTATCTTCATCTGAGGTTCTGGCACACTTCTGATTTAATACTTGGTGAACAGGGTGACAGGACAGTCTCAGAACTGTTTTTCAACCCGTGATGGAGGTACCCAGAGGATTTGTAAGTGTAAAAGCAAAGAGAGATGGAGCCAGTGAGCAGGTCTGGAGCCAGGATCACCACATTGGTTAAGGGCCCCCAAGGGCAGGAGCACGTTGCTGTACCCACAGCAGTGGGGAGTGCCCTCAAGAGGAACAAGTCTATTTACTGGTGGAGCCGAACGGACATAAAATCTCCCTCAGTTATATGGGTGTTTTTTTCTGTGTAAACTTGCTAATTGAGTTGTAAAATAAAACTGCAGTCCTTCCTCTCCAATTTCTGCTGCTGCAGCAGCGTGCTAATTTGGTTTTGGAAGGGGGCTGGTAGAAGGTGGCTCTTTGCCAGTGTGAAATTATGCGCAAAGGTTTGCAGTGGGAGATGAGGGAGCCCGTCCTCGGCACAGGGAAGGACTGGGGGCAGGAGCTGCTGAGCAGGGCTAGAGCGGCTTGGGAAGGTCCTGCAGCTGGGCTGGGCTGGGCTGGGCTGATGGAAATTCAAGAAAGCCCAGAAGGGTTTAAGTGAAGTTGCAATGGATTACAGATGGGAAAGTTAGCGCCTGTGCACCTCAGTAGATGCTATGTGGTTGAGAGGATGAGCTGTGGGATTTCACATCTACCCTCTGGCATGGCTGGGCAGGATTTGCCTCTTGGGTCTGTGTACCCATGTGTGTGTGGTGTGTGTGTGTGTGTGTGAGTGTGCCTTTGGTGTGGGCATGTGTGCCTGGTGTGTGCAGACATGTGTGTCCATGTCGCTCGGGGTGGTGTGGGTATGCCTGTGTTGGGTCTCCATACAGATGGTGAGGACAGGGATCTGGCTCTCATCACCCAGCAGCACAAAGCTCTGTCACGGGGACAACTGTGCACAGGAACAAGGATGGTGTGGTGCAAACTCATGCAGAGGAACCCACTGCTCAGCTCTGCTGACTTGCACCGGGCAGGGATTTGGCCTTGCTGCCCACACTGGGGGCTGAGAAGAGGACTGGTCTGTAGGGAAAAAAAAACTGTGATAAAAAAAAAAAAACAGAAGGCACAGCCTGGCTGTCTGTTGCATCAGTGTAACTTTAATTTTTGAAAAACACACAGAAAAAATGCAGTGACAGTTCCAGTCCCAGGGTGAAGCCTGGGGTTCCACATGTTTGGCAGGTACATGCACCCCAACATGCAGGAGGATGTAACGTCTCAGGGGACCCAGGACATGGACCACATTCACCATTTTTGTGTCTTTCAGTGTTTCACATAAAACTGACTGTGTGAAAACAATTCCAGGCAGCAGGCTCCAAAAACCATTGCGAGAAGCCCAGAGGTTTATGGATAGATTTGTCTGCCCATTTTCCAGAATTCAACAGTCCTTCCTGTCCCATCATCCTTCCATCCTTCTGCGGATCCCTTTGATCCCTTCTCTGGGCAGCATTGGGAAGGGATCGCTGCCATACCTTTCAGTGGGAACATCAGGAGCACAGTTTGTGACCCTGGAGCTGCTAGTTGAGGTGGGATTGAATGGGGCAGGGCTAGACAGTGTTTTTCAGCCTTCCCATCTTTGGGAAGAACTGCCCTCAGCATTCAGCCCTGCTGCCGCCTGCTCTCATTCTGTGAGGGCACACAAGTGGGATCTCAGCACCCTGGCAAGGGGGGAGTGAGGCCTCAGGGGCTGGAAGGTCTTGTCAGGTGCTTTTAAAAGTGACCTTTAGTGTCTGAAGAGCATCAGGCTGGATTTAATAAGGGACTGACAAAAGAATAACAATTACTAAAGCCTTCCTCTGCCTTCCCTTCCTCTGCCTCCTGCCCCAACTGGGTTAGGGTTCCTGGTGGTCACTAACTGCTGGGTGGGTGGTGCCAGTGGCAGCGTGCAAGGCCCTGTGGTCTGTGCAGAGTGTGCAAATGCTGTGCAAGCCACACAAACTCTATGTAAAGGCTGTGCAAGCCCTGTGCAAATGCTGTGCAAAGGCTGGGCAAAGTGTGCAAAGTGTGCAAATGGCTTTGGGCCTGGCCATCCAGCACTGCGAGAGACAGGGATTTCTCGGGATGCGGATTTCTTGGGATGGTGTCATGGGAGCTGTGTCTGTGTCTCTGCACAGTGTGTGCGTTCATACCGAGCAAATCCGCTGGCTGGCATTAGAAACCCGCTCGTGATACTGTGACAAAGCACCTGTAAAATCACAGCAGAAAGAAATCCGAGAGGTTGCAGTGACAAATGCTCGTGAGAAGCAATTGTTTGGGGGGGGAAAGGGAAAAAAAAAAAAAGCCATGTTTGTTTTGGCAAAACACCTACATTCCTTCAAATAAATCATCGCAGCCCTTGTTTTTGTATTTGTGGAGAAATCTCAACAGACATAACCAGGGACTTAAGAGACTTGAAATAACATCCTAGTAAATACCCCACTTTGTTATTTTAATCGAGACCCAAGGAAACATCTGAATTTTACCAAGGAAACCCTCCGTGCGAGGGAAAACATCAGCCCGCAGCCCGGCCGGGGCTTTGTTTTGCTCCGGTGTCGGGCTCCCGAGGCGGAATTGCCGGGGCCGATGGAGGTGCGGGGCAGCCCGGGACAGTCGCTCCGGCTCCCTCGACGCTCCCGGCCCGGCCCCGCAGCCAGCATCACCCCCGCAGGCCAGTCTGGGGGTGAGAAGTCAGCCCGAAATGTGGGGTGACGGTTCCTCAGTCCGAAACAGAGCCGGGGTGTGCCCCACGTCCAGTGTGGGACCGGGACCCCCGCCCCAGTACGGGGTGGCGGGTGACCCCCTCCAATACAGGGTCGCCTCCCATCCGCATCCCCCCTAATTAGGCTGGAGTGACGCCGCGGCACGGGGCTGTGGGACGCAGCTCTCCCCGACAAATGAGGGGGTACGGGTGCCCCCACGGGGGGCGCAGGTGCCTCCCACTAGGCGGGGCAGGAACCTGCGGGGGTCTCACCTGCCTGGGAAGGCGGGGAGGGGGCCGGGGAGGGAGTGTCCGGGGTGGGGTCTCACCTGCAGGCGGAGGCGGAGCGTGGACGGGGTTTCTCTCACCTGCCGGGGGAGGCAGAGAGGTGTCCGAGGGGACGGTCCGGGGGTTCCCACCTGCAGGTAGAGGCGGGGCGGGGTCGGGAGGGATCCGGGGTGTCCCACCTGCCAGGGAAGGCGGGGCGGCATCCAGGAGGGTGTCCGGGGGGGTCCCGTCTGCCGGGGGAGGAGGGGCGGGATCCAGGGAGGTGTCCGAGGGGGTCCCACCTGCCGGGGAAGGCGGGGCGGGTCCCGGGGCGCGGGCGGTGCTCGGGCGGGGAGGGGCGAGCGGCCGGCAGGGGGAGCCCCGGCGGCGGCGGGCGAACGAGGAGCGGCGGCGGCGGCGGCGACGGCGGCGGCGAAGACGATGTTCAAAAGCGGGCGGGGAGCGGCGGCGGCAGCAGCTCCGCGCCGAGCCCCGGGCCGCCGCCATGCGCCTCCGCGCCGCCGCCGCCGCCCTCTGCCTCTGCCTGCTGGGCGCCTGCCGCCTCCGCCGCGGGCTGGAGGCCGCCGCCGTGCGCGGCCCGTCGGCGGCCGCTCCCCAGCGACCCTCGGCAGCCGCGCCTTCCTCCGCCTCCTCCTCCTCCGCCGCCGCCGCCGCCTCCCCCTTCTCCTCCCCGCCGCGGAGGGACGGGGCTCTCCGCAACGGCACGGTGGTGCCGCACCACTACATGGTGGCCCTGTACCAGCGCCTGGCCGCCCGCCGCGGCCCCGGCGGCCGCGCCGACACCGTCACGGGCTTCGCGGAGCGGGCGCGCAGCGGTGAGTGCGGGGAGCGCGTCCCCCCGGGACCCCACCGTCGGGGATGCTTGGGCTTGGGAACGGGCTTTAGGAGGAGGATGGGGTTTGGGAACGGAGACGGGGCTGTGCGTGGATGCGAGGATCGGGCTCCTGCGTGGGAGCAGGGATGGACGCGGGGTTGCGCATCACTTTGAGCGTGAGTTTGGGGACGTGGTGGCAACGCGGAGAGGGACCTCGCGCGTTGGTCCAAACGCGAGGCTGTGCCTGGGATGGGGTTGTGCGTTGGTTTGAGCACGGGGTGGTTGCAGGGGCTGGGGGTAGCTCACGGGATATTGCTTCGCGGGATAGGGGCTGCGCATCCCGGTTGTTTAGCGGAAATGGAGCCGTGCGCGAGACCGAGCGTGGGAATGGGGACGAGGACAGTGCTGGGAGTGGGGCTGTGCGTGAGCATAGGGCTGAGGCGACGATAGTGACAGCAAAGGGTTTGTGTCTGGAGGTGGAAAAAGGGATTGCCGATGGAGATGAGCGTGAGGTCGGGGGTGGCGATGGGGTTGCGCGGTCAAAGATGACGCTCGGGGTTGGGGCTGGGGTTGGGGAGGGGGTGCGAGGTGCAGCCAGCCGGGCCGGGGCAGGCGGGGCTGCCGGCGGCTCTCGGAACCTCTCGCCACCTGATGCGGGGCCGGCGGCTGCGGCGCAGTTTTGAGGCAGCTTCTCTGAGCGGCATCCCCGGGACCGGGAGCGAGAAGACCCGACAGAGCCTTTGCAGCCCGAAAAACTCCGCAGGGCCTCGCGACGGGCCGGGCGAGGCTGGGGAGGGAGCGCAGCCGCGGTGCTCCGGGGAGCACTCCAGAGCGGCTCCCGCCGACCCGCCGGCTGAGCTTGGCATCGCGCTCCCCTTCTCTCTCTTCCTCCTCTTTTGCCCTCTTCATATCCGCGGATCTAATGATGATAACACATAAACGCATTTAACGATACATTTTTAACGCGTACATCGCGCACTGCCGCCGAAGTTCGCTCGGCTGGGGAAAAAAAAAATAAATTACGGATCGAATAAAATTAAAAGACAAACTGAAAAGCAGCCCCCAGCCTCCCTGCGGTGCCTATCGCCGGCTGCCCCGGGGTGGGAGAGCGGCGGCTGGTCGTGTGGAGCTCCCCAAGCCCCATCCTCACACCCAGAACGGGCTGTATCCTGCCGGCAGCCTTTGGGGGGAAGGGGTGCTAAAAGCTGATGGGGCAAGGTCAGGGGAGCGAGGTGGGACGCGGGGAAGATGATCCGGGAGGGTGGGCAGTGCCCGGCTTGGGAGAGCCGGGGGAAAACTGCGCATAGGTCCTGGGAAGTTTCAGAGCAAAACGAAACCAGATGAACTCTTCAAAGGGATCTCCTTATCTGCTCTTATCTGCTCCTCATAGGAACGCTAGATCTGCTTTTAAAATAATAATTACAATAATGACTATAATGAATAATAATAATAAGGATAATAATAACAATAATAGTAGCAGCAGCAGCAGATGACAGGGAGAAGATTGTTTCCCCCCTGGCAGGGGGTGCAGACTGCACCCAACGGCGCTGCTGGCGCGGGGCGGGGGCTGCGGTGTGGGGATGTCGGGCAGGGCTCTGCTGGCAACGGGTAAAGAGGCTCGGGCACAGCAGCGATGTTTGCAGCATGCTCAGGTCGGATTTCTCGTTAACGAGGGAGAAAATAAAAAACAACCCTCGCAGAAGTCATTCATGTCTTCTCCCCAGTGTCACCTCCTTTGGTGTTTTGTTTTTTTTTTTTTTTTTAATTCACATTGAGTATATTTAATCAGTGCTAGAAACTGCACAAGTCTGTGTTTGGGCTTTGGATCCACCAAAAATAGTGACAAAGTGAAGCTGGGCTCGCTTTCAGCCTCTAGTGGTGCCTCTATCAGACGTGTGTCTGCGAGGGGAAAATGGAATTTTTCACAGCTTTTTACTTGGAATGGATGGGGCTATGTGTGTGTGTGTGACACTTAGGGCAGAAGAAATCGGTGACCACCTCCTGACTGGGGATGGGACTGCGGCACAGTTTCAGATGGGGCTTCCATGCCAAAACAGAATAGTGATGCAACTGGGGTCAGTGGAACACCTATGAGGAGGCAGAGAAACCTCCTTGGGACATGGGGAAGAGTGCTGATGAGAAACCACTTGATTCAATTGATGCCTCTCTCCCTCTGTACTTTCTCCTTGTTAGTTTTTGGTTCCTCCAGCCAGGGTGACACTCCTGGATGCAGGACACACAGGCTGTGTCCTGCTGGGATGCTCGGCGAGCCTTGCTGCACGACAGGATCTTTCCTGTTAGTTCTGTGTCTCTTGCACCTCCATAATGAGAGCTTGGCTTCAACTTGCTGGGATTTTAATTTTTTTTTTCCTTTTTTTTCCCCTTCTGTGTTATCTCTTCCAGATGCCTCCCTATCCACCTCCGAGCAGCGATACCTCTTCGACATCTCCAGCCTGCCTGAGGCAGAGGAGGTGACGGGCGCAGAACTGCGGATCCTGCGTGCCCTCCCTGAAAACCGGAGCTTGGCCCTGTCCCCCGAGGGCACCTTCCACCACCTCCTCCTTTCCACCTGCCCAAGCCAGGATGGTCAGGAGCCCCGGCTGCTGGACTCCAGGGCTGCAGACATTTTGGACGCAGGCTCCTCCAGATGGGAGGTTTTTGATGTCTGGGGAGCCTTGCGAGATCGGAGGGAGAGATCTCTCTCGGGCAAGCTGCTGTGCTTCCTGCTGAGGATCGTCTCGGATCAGTCGGGGCAGCTCCTGCCCCCCCGACAACTGGGGTTCAACAAGCCCCAGCCCCAGCCCCACGAGCGAGCCCTGCTCGTGGCCTTCTCCCACACCCAGAGGAAGGAGAATCTCTTTAAGGAGATCCGGGATAAGATCAAGGCCCTGGGCAGCCCCCCATTCCTGGAGCCCCCTGACCCTGGCCAGGAGGTGTATCCCAAGCGGAGGAAGAGAAGGACCACGATTGCTGCCCGGTCTGGGGGCAGAGGCCATGGGAAGAAGGCGAAGACCCGCTGCAGCAGGAAGCCTCTGCACGTGAACTTCAAGGAGCTGGGCTGGGATGACTGGATAATCGCCCCCCTGGATTACGAGGCGTATCACTGTGAGGGGGTCTGCGACTTCCCCCTGCGCTCCCACCTGGAGCCCACCAACCATGCCATTATTCAGACCCTGATGAACTCCATGGACCCGGAGTCCACCCCCCCGAGCTGCTGTGTGCCCTCCAAGCTCAGCCCCATCAGCATCCTCTACATAGACTCTGGGAACAATGTGGTTTACAAACAGTATGAGGACATGGTCGTGGAGACGTGTGGCTGCAGGTAGCAATTTCTGCAGCTCTCCTCCTCCTCACTTCTCCCTGCCCTGCCCAGCAGCCCTGACCCATTTTATATATATAAATATAGATATATATATATAAAATATATATATATACACATACACATTTTGGTGTGTGCCTTTCCAAAAGCCAAGCTCAGAGCAGGTGTCCCTTGCCTTCCCTGGGCCACCCTGGCCATGAGCCCCCCTGAGGCTGTGAGGCTGATGCCATCTCTGTGCCTTGCCTGCTTCCTGCAGGAAGGGGGGGGTACACAGACCGGCAGAGCCCCCAGGAAATGCCTGTTCTGCCTCTGAGCTCTGCCTGCTAGGCTTGGTTTTCCCAGGTGGAGCTGACACTTTCTTTCCCAAAGGTTTTGGAAAATGTCTGGCCAAAATTGTCTTGGTGGGAATGATGACCTGGGGTTGGGGAGCAGACAGAGTGGTGGCTGTGGGAGAGGAATCTTGTCAGCATCACCTTCTGGCTGGGGCAGTGGGATGGAGGTGAGATGGGAATGCTCATTTATTTGAGTTAAAGGAGTTTTTCTGTCTGCCTTCAAATCACCACACCCAGGTTTTCTGGTGGAAAAACGAGGGATCCCTGGGGGAAGGCAGAGGGTGGAGAACCTGTGGCTGCTGGGGGTTGAAATCATTTGGTCCAGGCCTGCTTGTAGTGGGGAGAGATTTGTGAGTCTGCTGGTGGGGACAGGAAAGAAGGTCCTTGTAACTGGAGGCTAAAGCAATAGTCAGGTCTGAAGTAGAGCTCGAGAGCTCGTGCTGTCAAAAAGATGGGAATGGTCCTGGGAGGTGTTAGCTGGGGATACCCTGGCTCCATGTAGTCCTAAGTGCTGGCCCTGTTGTTGATGTCCTGCAGGGGGTATTGGCTGGTGGGTCCCCTCCCTTTCCTGCACAAAACCCCATTTCCAAGGCATACTGGGAACCTGGCATCAGGCCCACAAGTCACACAGATGTCCTCAGCGTGTCTGGAGAATAACAAAGGTCCTGAGTTCCCCAGGGAAGAACCATTTTGCTTGGGTTCTTCTTTTTCCAAATAATCTCTATAAAAGCACTAAACTCCACCCTATCTTCCTTTGGCATCGATTTCCCAGTGAGCTCCATCCCTCCCTGGAGCGCCGGCCTCTCCCCGCTCCATTAAGGGAACCCGGATCCGCCAGGAACAGGCCTTTCCCATGCTGTGGGCTGAATGTCACCCTTGGGGACTGCTACATAAAATGGGGTGCTTTGACCTGTACTGAAAGGGCTGCAGGATTTTAGTAACTCAGGAGCTGAGTATAAATTATGCCTTTAAATCAGAGAAACCTCGTATCCATGACAGGGTGTGTTTTGGATGCTGGGAAGTGTTTCTGCTGCACCTCAGTGGCTTTTAGTACCACACTCCAGCTTTGTGGCTGAGTTGGCATAGTCCACAGATGTATTTGCACAGACTTTGTGTTTGATGGTTTGTTTTTTTACTGATGGTCAGAGTGTTGGTGTGTAAACATCAGTGCTTATTAGTGACAGTAGTTTGCTTTTGGAGGAGATAAATCCCTGCTGGAAAACGTGGCGTTTTCCCTATATAAAATGAGTTGTTCTCCATGGTAAGGGTGTTCTTCTGGGAAGGCTGAGCCTGGCTGGGGCAGAGAGGGGTTCACCTCAAAGAACTCTGCTGAGATCCAAATGATTTCAAGGATCAGAAAAGCCTTGGTGAGGTCCAACAGCCGCTTCAAGAAAATAGTGCATCAGCAGGGAGTAAATTGAGCACACTGATAATGGTGATAGATCCACTGGACTAACACCCCCCAGCTTCCTTCTATCCTCATCCATAGAGGCTTGCTGTGCATCCTCAGGCTGTGGCTGGTGGCAACTCAGGAGAGCAAATGTGGTACCCATAAATCTCGTGTAACCCCCTTGACTCCCGTGGAGCTCCTCTGACTTTACATCCATGTAAGCAAGAGGAAAACCCATCTCCCTACCTCAGCATAAATGTAAATATATATTAATGATGTAACTGTCCCCAGGGGGATGCTCAGAGATGGAGGTTGGTAGGGGAGAGGAAGAATCAGGTCCATGCAGGTGGGTTTTCTCCTTGCCGGTGTCTGGGGAGTCTGAGGTGCAACTAGTGGGTGAGGAGGGGTCATAAGGAGGGCTAGTGTCTTTCCTTTGCCCTTTGGCTTTAGCACAGATGGTTTGGGAAGGAGAGTGGCACAGCAGTGCCTGAGTTGCTTGCTCTGGAAACACTGCACCATTTATAAAGTAACCAAGCTTTTGAAGTGCCTAATTTTTCAATTACCATGGGTTGTTTGATAGCTTTTCTCACTGCTGAGACAATATTTTTTAATGTTTTTGTTTCTTTTACCCCCTCCCCTTCCTCCAAATATTTGTGGTGGAGGTTTGTGGGCAGTTCAAATTCAGGCAAGATATATATAGCTCCTGGCAGCCCCTGCTGGCTGGTGGCTCTTGTGAGCCTCAGCCAAAAGGTTGGCCTGAGACCTGCTCCTGTGGGACCGATTCCAAGGGGGTGTTAATACCAGTGACCCTCAGTTCTTGTGGCTTTTGTTCAGCCACAGCTGCAGGGAACAGACAGATGTCACGCACCTCAGGCCTGGAGGTGGCTGACGGGGAGCAGGGCGATGGGTTGGATCTTGCAGTGCTTCACCTCGACCCCAGTGCTGTGTGCTGTGCTCTGCTGAGGCTCTGTCCTGAACCCCACCGTGGCTTTGCTGGTCCTGGGGGGAAAAGCAGTGACTCAGTCGCTGCAGTTTTGTAGCGTGGATCGCTACAGTAAATGAAAGGATTTGGTGAGAGCGCAGAGGCCGCTGCTGGCAGTGATGCCATCCATGGTTTTGCCCATGTGGGAATCAGTCCTGGCTCTCCTGGCTGCAGGTACCTCTTCCAGAACGGGCATGTTTGGTGGGACAGCAAACTTCAGCCCCCTGAGGTGAGCCCAGCAGCAGTGGGCCCTTTGTGCTCGCACCCCTGGTGACACTGCTGTGCCAGCTGCTATTTTAAAGGAGCACCTGTTCCTTTCCTGGGCTGACAACCTCTGGAGGACAACAGGAGGGAAAAGGATGGAGTCAGACCCTCTTTCTGCCTCACAAGAGGGAAGGCAGCCAGGGGCTGCTCCAAGGTGATGTGTATGGGTGGGGCAAGGCTGGAGGGGAGCAGGGCTGGGGCTCTTGGTGGGTAACTGTGTTGCTCCCCCTGGGAAAGTGTATCAACCGCAGTGCTCAGCTGTTGCATTGCTTATTGCTCCTAGAGGAGTGTTTCCAGAGCAAAAGCACTTCTTCTCCCTTTAGGGATCCCTGCATGCCAACTGTAAGGGCTGCCTCTCTATCCCCAGGTAGATTTGGAGATTGCACCCAAACACTGGAATGAGGCTTGGGCAACAACCATCAGAGCCATTGCAAATGTTTAGAGGTTTAGATTAGATATTAGGAAAAAAATTTCATGGAAAGGGTTGTAAAGCATTGGAACAGACTGCCCAGGGAGGTAACAGAGTTGCCATCCCTTGAAGTGTTCAAAAAATGTGTGGATAAGGCACTTGAGGAGACAGTTTCATGGTGAACATGGTGGTGGTGCTGGGCTGACAGTAGGACTTGATGGTCTTTTCCAGCCTTAATGATTCTATGACTCTCAATGGAAGTGGTGGGTGTGAAAGCCTTTTCCAGACAGGGAGATTCCCTCAGCTGAGTTGTTGCAGCCCTGTCATGTTGGGGAGCAACACAGGGACATGTCAGCAAAGGGCACGAAGCAGTAAATCCTGCCTGTGGAGGCAGGTAAGTGGGGCACTGGCTGCAGGATGGTGGCAATCCAGCCCAACCCTCATCTCTGAAGCTGGTCCTTGGCTGAGCATCACCCTCTAATGCCATAGAAACGGTCCAGGAAAAATGTATTTCTGATCAGTTGCCTCTTGCCTGAGCTGATTTTTGGCCACATGTAAACTTTATGAGACTAGAGGTTGAACATGGACAAATATGAATTCAGTAGGCTCAGAGTGATTTTAATGGATAATTATAGGTTCTTATTCTGCAGTATTTATACAACCTTTCCAGTTAAAAAAACCCAGTTTCCATGCAGTGTATATTCTCCTGGAGGATTTGTTTGACCTTGAGCACCATTTTTATCTGCAGGATATAATTACAGTGAAACTAGAAATATTAACCTTTTTAAAAAAGACTGTGTATCTATGCTTAACTGGCTCCTTCCCCTCAGACACGCAAATGTAATCGTGCAGGAGCAGGGAAACATGGACCAATCCCATTTAACTTGGAAGTGCTGGGGCTGTGATTCAGGGAAGCACACCTGGTTGGGACAGGACTGGTGTGTGTGCCTTGAGCTCTGTAAAACCAAAGCCTGTGCTTAAGCCATTGCCTGTGCTATGTCCTGAAGCTCCCTGTCCAGCGGAGCTCCATAGCAGGAATAGTCAAAAGCAAAATGGCTTTATGCCTAGTTTAACTGCCTAGTGACCAGGGGTGCTTCTGGCCTAGAAATAATTCCCCAAAATCACAGATTTCATCCTTTTTTCTTCTAAGGAATAATTAATTTTTAATTCTCTTAAAACAGGGCTTTTGTCTAACCACACACCCCATTTTTTTTTTAACATATTTCAAATCCAATGATAGAAGGGAAATTACTATCCTCTGGAAGAGAGAAGGGTGTTCATATGGAAAAGGGCTTGATTCAGGCTTGTAGAATCTTCTCCCTGGCATATTTGTGTTGAATCTGGTCAGCACTGGTAGACAGAGCCACGTTTTCTTTGCCTGTTGGTTGATGCTTGGCATACTCATAAGGAAAAGACTGCAAAGGTATTAAAAGTGAAGCCCAAACCTTGAGCCCTCTGCTCAAGTTCGAGTGCCAGTGACTCCTGGGTGTTTTTGCACCGTGTGGGTTTTAACTCAGGTTGTGGTTACACAGCTGTCACTGGGCGATGCTGCATTGATTTATCGGTCACACTCCTGTTGCAAAACAAGCAGCTCCTTTTACAGTTTTAAGCCTTATGCCACAAACCCAAAAGTGGTATTTAGGGACAGTCACCTGTGCTGGCCCCCACGTAACAGCAGGCACATGCTCTGCTGTTGGCAGCACTGCCTCTCCAGGGAGAGACAGAGAGGCTGGGGCATCACTTAGGACCCCTGGGGGATGTGGGTCCTAGGGGGCCACAGCAGGGCAAATGGAGCAGAGCACCTTGGAGTGCTGATGGGATGCCACAACTTTACTCTCCAGACTTAACAGGAGTTTTGCCATGAGCTTTGGTTTTTTGTGCTTGTCTCGATAGCAGCATTTGCAGTTACATCAAAACCCCCATGACCTATGTTAATGTGACAGATACGTCATAAATACCAATCCAGCTCATACTCTTATTGGAACAAACCTGGTGGGAAATGTCAAGGTTTCCTGCCAAGCATGTAGTGAGCTCTGAAATCCAAGTGCCTTCTCTTTTGTCTGTGCTGGAACAGCAGGGCCATGTGCCAGGGAGAAAAAAACCTAAGTGGGGCAACGGCAATGAGAGTCTTTCAGAGGTTGTCACCTGAAATGGGGCAGTACCACTGGGTTTGCAAGATGGTCAGACTGAAAGGCTGTCACATGAACCTTGGCTGGATGGTCCCACCACATTGCTTGCTGTGTCCCCTGTCCTGTGTGCAACTGCAGTTATGGTGTGAATTTTTCTCTCCACATCACACTCTGGGAGGTGAGTGGGTGGGAAAACCTGTGTGGGCAAAACCAAGCACTGGTCTTTGAGAGCAGTGTGGTTCTTCTTTTAAGTCACCATGACCAGCAGATGGAGAGACTACGTGTGTCTCACTGGAATCAGAACAGCTCCTCTGGCATCAGGGATCCCTTTATGGCTATGTGGGGCCTGAATGGAGATGCTGAGTGGCAGGAGCAGAGTATTGCACTATGCTCACTGTGGGAGTGCATCCTCCCTGAAAACACAAGTTGAGGGCTAACTGTTCATGGACGGGTTGTTGGTGATGGTCAGGAGCTTGTGACCTTGTGTGGTGGTGGGAGAGTTTTATCTTTGAATTAATGACTGGTAAAAGAGCAAGGTGTTCCACCAGGCTGGTGTGTGTGACACCTTTCAATTTTGTCATAAACTGGTTTATGTCTTCCAAGGTAAAACCAGCTGCATTCAGCTTTTTGAAGCTCCTTATTCCTAGTACAGAGTGTTGTGAGATACACAGAGGTGCAAAGATGTCTCTGAAAATCACTTTTACCCTATCAATCAGTATTCTGGGCCTTTGAAAAATGACCAAAATTTGGAACTCCTGCTGGTGTAACCCACTGACCAAGGAGCCAGAGCCCACTCTACATCTGAAAGGATATTTTACATCCTTGCACCTCAAGACACAAGTAGCCCAGGTGGCTGCTTTTTCCTTTTCCTGGCAGCAGTACCCAAACAGCCCCTGAATTTTCCATGTTGGAGAGGAACCTGATGTCAGTGGTGATGGAAAGGAGCACATGGGCAGGCTGGCAGATGCACTGTGTTTAACTCTGGCTGAATGGACTAGGGTAGGAAACTTGGGCAGCAGAGCATTTTCATGGAGCTGGTATTGAAACATCTTAAACCAAAACTCGATTCATTCCCAGAAATGGCTGAAACCAAAACCTGCCCATTTTTCAGTGGTTTTTCAGCAAGTTTTGCTCTTCGTTTTTCTGTCATCACCACTTAATAGTGCATTCATACATTTTGTAAGCTCGTTTTTCTGCTTTGGTACTGGTGTTCATGCTTTGGGTTTTCAGGATGGGGAGTGCAGACTTGCTGTGGTGTTTGGTGAGGGTAGGATGGGGGGGAAGGGAAGACTGAGCCTCAGCAGCAGGAGGATGGGGGTCAGTCTGTGCCCTCGAGTAGGGGACAGTGAGAAGATGGGTCTGGCAGGGTTGAAAATGGTGGGAGGAGGGGACTTGCTCATGATGGGTCCCACACTCATGTGCTTTGCTGATGGTACATGGGAGAGTTTGGGTCTCCCCTCCCCTGCTCTTTGCCACAGTGTCAGCCTATGCTGGTGCCACCCTGGTCTCCATCATCAGGAATGAGATGCAGAGACTGGACCAAGCCTGGCCTCCCTGGGAGCTGTGGCATCCAGTTGGTCCCAGGTTTTGGGGAGATGGTAATGTTCCCTGTGGTGTTTCATGAATTTCCTCCATCATGCCTTGGTGGAGAGAGAGGAGGGGAGCAGTAGGGAAAAAACAAGAGGCAAATGTTGGGGCTGCTTTGGTCCCAAGCTGGTCATCCTAGGGAGCTGTGTGCCAGCTGTGTGTTGGGAACTGCTGAGTACCAAGGGGCTCACAGAAGCTCAGCCATTAGTAGCAGAGTATGAAGCAGCATCCACAGGCCAGGAAAAGGGATGGTCAGACATGGAGGGACTGGGCTGTAGTCCTTGAAGAGGTGTTGGAGTTAAGTGGGTGTGTAGGTGGTCATCAGCTGGGGAAGAGCCACTTTGTAGGGGCAGCTCATCCCCTCCTTGCTCAAGGAGGGGAGGGATCATTCTGGTTGCATTCATCCCACGCACTGTGAGTAATGAACCTTTTAAAGAAGAGTCTGAGTTCCTGAGGTGTTGAACATCCAGTGCTCGCACGTGCTTCAGACGAAGCCATGTTTGTGCAGTGCCTTTGCAGATCAAGCTCTGACAGCCTGAGGAGCAGTTGGGGGCTGTGCCCAACTGGAGTCACCAGCTCCATCCTGCACTGTGGCTCTCCACTGGGAAAGCTGGTGGAGATGCTGCTCACAAGAACTGGGCATATGTCTGTGCAGGACAGACCTGCTCTGCTCCTGGTCCTCCCTGTTTTGGATGCAGCAGGAGCAATGTTGATCCAGTTTGCTCAGTCCCTCCATATCCCATCACCATGTGCTCTGTTTCTCAAGCCAAGTCAACACTATCTGGAGTTCCTTTGACAAAACGAGCCTCTCTGCTGGTCAGTCATGGTTTTATTTATATGTTCTTTTCTTTGATTAGAAAGGAAAATATCAAAAAATGAAAAAGGACTCGAGTTTCCAATAGCTGTATCTCTAGTAGTTATGAATTTTGAAGCAATACTCATATCCCTGTGTGTGCCTCTGAACTATCCATTTATTTGTTCAGCTTTTTCAGGTCTGAGTGTGTGAAATATCTCTAAAGAAGATAGCTCTGTACGTGATGGTGTAAATGCATTGTTTGTATGTATCTAAAGTTTAAATAGATTGTACATATGGGATTGTAAATGAACTGTAAACAGCAATCTATATTTTCTTGAATATATTATATAGCAGTATATATTTGTTAAATAAGTATTCTTGTATACTCTTCAATAACCTTTTTAATATTTTGTACAGATAAGTTTATTAAATATTTTATTGATAAATAGACCTCTCCAAGGTTTTTTTTTTCTTTTGAAGACTTGTGCCTGTGTCCTGAAACCAGATACCAGAACAGCTTTCGTAAGTCATCTTTACTCCCTGGTCTACCTAAGGTGTTAAAACCAAAAATGAAATACCCATTCATTTTAAACTGTCTTCCTATGCAGCCACAGTTATTTTCCAATAAATAAACTCACAGCACAGTGAGTGTTTGTGATGGATTTATCATCAAAATGTGCATCCCTTTCTTCCTTGTGTTCATGAATTCAGTTCAATTGCCTTGACTGCCGTGGGTCTGATAGTTTCCTGTTAGGTATCACTGGTACACGATACATCACTTGATGTACCTGAGAGATTAGGCTGCTAATTACCATGGCAGAAAATGCTTTATCAAAGTTTGCTTTTTATTGAATATTGGGTTTTATTAGTCCATTATTCCTGATTTCAAAGTATTTTTTTAATAGCTTTGTAAAGCACCCTGTGACATGAAATCCTTTTGCATTTATAGTAGTTGAACTTCAGAAGTTCTCTGCTTTTATCAAGAAAGCAGGGAATCTGCAAGATAAGTTTAATCCATCACATTAGATAAGTGTGTCATGCACGTTGAGAAATGGGCTGTCACATAGTGACATGGTCTTTTTCTCACCTGCTTTCACTGGGACATTACAGTGGCAAACCCAGAAGTTTGAGGGAGAGTTGCTTTAGTGCATTCTCCTGCAGTGGACATAACAAAATGCCTTGGAGACAATGAGTGAAGGTAATAAATAGGGTTGTGACTGCCTCTGCTACATCCCTATGCACACGATACTGAGAAGATGCAGGTGTGGAGCAAGGCACATTTGGAAGAATGGAAGAAGTCTTTAAGGCATCAGGTTATGTGTTTTAGACACAGCAGAGCCAACCTCAGCTTTCAAGACCCAAGAGAAACACATGGAGAACTGAAAAGAGACATTTGCCTGAAGGACTTAATTCTTACAAGACTGATATTTTCTAGGCTGTCCCTTCCTCTTAAGCACACCCACAAATATATGGCTCAGTTGGGGTGAGGCATGGTCATTTCTATTCCCAGTGGCATGTGGAATGACAGACCATGCATGAGTCAATTTTTAGGCAGTTTTCTGCATCCTCACATGCCCATTTATGGTCCCACTGGCTGAAGGGATCTTTCAGTACAAGTTCTCCAGTAGGCACGCAGAGGGAAGCAGGATGGCATTTGCCTCCATGTGCCCCTGTCCACTCTATGAGCAGTTTTACAGGAATGTGTTATCTTAACAAGTTATTTTCAACAGAACATTGAGGGATGAGAGCAAATGGTTATTCACAGACTTCCCACCATGTCTTCGCTGAAACCAGTGGGAGTGGTGGGTTTGCGTTCAGTGGAGACAGGTTTTTAGTCCACATCACTTCAGACTACTCGTGTGATTGACAACATAAACTAGTCAGTTTATATCTGAAGAGAAATCAAAGGCACAGCAAAGACAAGGGAGATGTTCAAGGTCACAAAAGGGTACAATGGAAGAAAATGCAGACCATTGTTAAAACAGGACATGGCCTGACATGGACACCTGGTGACTTTAACCCTAAAGCAAATGCCTAAGTCCCTCAGGTAGTAAAAAAACAAGTTGGTGCCTTCCAGGACCTCAAGACAGAGATCTGGTACCCCCTACATTTGGATATCTAAGTTAGACCAGACAGGGAATTTAGACATCCATTTGGGGAGCACTGCTTTATGAACTGCCAAGCTCAATTTTGCTTGGAGCACCAGTTTTCCTCTTAGCAACTAATCCAAAGCCCAGTGAAATTGGTTTTAATGTCTGTAATAACCTCAGTAGGTTTTGGACCAGGCTTAACTGAGGCCTCTCATGTACCATCCCACACTGTTCTCCATAACACAGCCCAATCCAGAGGTGCTTGGGGAGATCACTGGGACATGTGCTGGTGTGAGGCTCAAGTGCAGTCCCAAAGTATTCTAATAGGAGAACTTCATCTTGTTTTCAATAACCAATACTAGGCAGGCATGTTTTCATTGCTATGAAAACAAATCCATAGGAATCCATCTGCACTGGACTGTCCTATTTTGGTGCAAACTAGTAAGGATACGAGGATAAAAGGAAACTCATGTCTTGCACGTAGTATTTTTGTACTGAAGCAATTTGTTCATGTCATGGCCCCTCTGTTGCCCGAGTCTCAGTCAATCAATCACTTGGGTCTCCCTAAGCCTATGTGCAATCCTGTTGACTTTATTGAGGCAGTACTGGGGCTGGGTCACTCTGGATGATTAACATCCTGTGGGTTTATTTTGTGGGTGAGAATACATGTTATTTCCTAATAAACACAGATGAGTTGCAGTACCCCCTGCATGATGAGAGCAGATGATGTTAGCAATTCAAAGCATTTATATTCTGTAAATGGTATTCCTGTATCCTGCGAGTTAGATTGGAATAGCTGGATCCTTATCAAATTGTAAGGGTGCCTGTTAGGGAAAAGGAGTAGCTGAGTCCTGACACTGGGAAAGCCTAATTTTTTCCAATTCCAAGCCACCTCACCTTCATGGATTTGTCCCAATGCATGAAGCACAGTGTATTTCAGAGCTTGGGGGCTTTGAGATGAGTTTGTTGAAGATGTTCACAAACTGAGAGGTCTGGGGGCACCCCCCACTGCCTCTTTCAGTGTGAATTGCATTAAATAGGATGGCAAAAGATCTCCTTCAAGTGTCTGACTGGCAAACCCTGCAGTCAGGTACAGTCAGTCAGATGTTTTAAACAAAATCCTGTGTTTTATCAGCTGCTGCAAACTACTTTCCTCAACACGGCTATTTTCCTGCAAGCACGTTCCTGCAACAGGCAAGACCTAGGCCACTGACTGTCAGCTTAAGCACTCTGAAACAGTTTTTAATCAAACCTCTCCCTGCTGTCCCATCTGAGCACACGTGAGCCTGTCCCATAAGTTCTGCATGATGCTACTGAGAGCTGTGCTTGCTCCTGGCAGCTGCCTTGTGCTGTTACTGCTGTATCTGCTGCTTGTACTCAACCCCCATCAGCTGTTCCAGAAATATATGCTGTTTTAATATTCCTGGTCACTCACAAATGCTCTCTGGATTCTTATTTTGTAAATGTGCCAGGAAAGAGAACATTTGCCTGTAAGTGAAGAGCCTTAGAAACTTATTGTAGTTGGGAGTCTGAGCATGACCTGTGACACAGAGTAAAACAAGTCTCTTGGGTCTAGTAAGTTTATCCAAACCCAGTAATAGTTTGAGTGACTTTATTAATGATAACACTGAACATCTTGTTTAAAGTCTTTGCTGGCAATTAGCTAGACCAAAGAAAGGGATGGGGAGTGGATGTACATATAAACCCATTTTCTGTAAAATAAATACATAAATGACCTCAACTGCAGAGAAGAGATTATCTGCTGTGGCTCATGTATGCAATCTGTCTCCATGAGTCAAGAATCTGGTGTTTAGCTTGGAGTCCAACTCCAAATTCTTCACCATAAACACTGGGCAAGCACTCATCCAGCTTCCTGAAGGGACAAACCTCACTGATCCGTGCACTCTATAGCTCATTCAAAGCAGCAAACACAGAGCTGGAGGAAGCAAGGGGAAACACTGGTTGATTATTTTGGAGGGGCTCTGGATAAAAATGCTTAAGCGAGTCAGGTGCCTACCACCCACGGATTTTCTGTGCACTTGGCAGATGTCAGCATCGCATGTGAAATCTGGGGTTTGGAAAGTATTTTTGTAAATTTTGTATGCATGAAGTAATAGAGAAGGTGAACTAGGACTAAACAAGTTATCAAAACAAAGAATCAAGTTACATTTTACCATAAACGTCTTTATTTTTGTTATTGGAGTTGTGTACTTTTAATAAAAGGTATCGATCTAGCAAAATACTTGCACATGAGTCAAAGTCATTGAACTAGCAAGGGTTACTTGTGTGGTGAGAATTAAGCACAGATGTGAAAGACAGAGATTAGGTGCTACAGCATACAGTCAATATATTTGTGATAGGTTTCTCAAGAACTCTTAAGTAGTCTAAAATAGGCAAGACCACACTGTATTTTCATGGTAAGTTGGCACTGTATTTTCATGGTAAGTTGGCACATTTGGACCACAAGCACTTTTGACACTCTTTGCCTGGGGTGACGGTGAACACCACAGGCTTCAGAGAAGATGGATTCTCATTGTGTGGGATCTGCTTCTCTTAAGAAATACAGCTGTGGAAACTAGACCCATGCATTTTTGCAATGAATAGAGCAGCAAATTTTCAGATCTTAGCCTTACGGTAACAGCTCCTAAGAGGAAGGTAGCAATTGAATCAATATGGTTTTGATAATATTAGAGAAAATTCATTAAGAAAATTGTAAGGCATTCTCCTGCAGTAGATCTGGTCATCATTGACCAGACCTAGTCCCAGTTTAGGTCTTAATGCAGTCAGTAGGATTTATTATAATGGATTAACAATTGTATAAAAGGCATACACAGGTCAAGTATTGCTAAATTAATTCCTCATACAAAGTATACGAATAATGCACTGTAAACAACTGCTTCTTGTAGGTGCTTCAGTCCACAGGCTTTAATAGTTGCTTATCATCTTTGGTTAATACAAGATTTCGTCTGGTCTCAGGAGATCCACTACAACAGCTGAACTTCCACCAAGTCCTTGCTCGATTCCTTGATTCCATACACTTTGAAGAACACGTTTTGTTCAACCAGATCAATGTGTAAACCAAAACAACCAAGTGAACTGTAGTTTTTTATGTTGCTGACATACAAACGTGCACATGTATATATATGTGTGTGTGTGTACATTTATATATCTCCACGTATGTGAACGTGTCCCCTGGCTCTGTCCCAGGGAGCACCTTGGCCAACAGATGCATGGAGCATCTGACCCAAGGCCGTCCAACAGGAATGATGCCAACATCTGGGGGCTATTCAAACACACACAGACACAGACAACTATGGATTTCT